AATCCCGCCAACAGCCCCTCCCGGCCCAGAAAAGCCGTGGTGGCAGGTTTGGTCCACGGCCTGCCAGCGTCTCCTCCATCTCCACCGTGCTCCGGGAGCCGCAGGCGCAGGGGTGATTGCATTTACCTAATGGCAGCCACCTGGCTTTTTCCACCGCTGCCCCTCGGTCCCTGTAACCAGATTATCCCCCTTGTCCCCGGGGGCTCATCGGTGTTATTGGGTTTGTCCAGCCCCGGCTGGCGGCTCTGACCTCTCCCCAAGTCCTTATCAGCTGCAATAAAGAGGAATTGAGATGGAGCAGAGCTGTCAGCCCAGAGGGCAGAAATGGCATTAGGCAGCAGTCGCAGAGGAGGGCGCTGAGCTCGGCTCCGGCAGCGCTGCCAAGCACCATGCCTGCTGGCACCGGGCTCTGCCAGGGCTGCCACCAGAAGGGAGGTTTGCACTGGGATGCCCAGTGCCAGCCCAGCCTCGTCCCCTGGTGGCATCACCTTCAGAGTTGCTGCTTGGAGGGGACCAGCCCTGCAGTGGGTGCAGCCCCCAGCGTTGGCCCCGGGGTGCTGGGTGCTGCAGGGGAGATCTCAACGCCTTTGCCCCGGCATGGTTGGGTGCCAGAGAACTCTTCCCTCCCCATGGGTGAATCCTGCATCCCTCTCGTCTGGGGCGCTTGCGGGGGGCAGAAGGGTGACGGGAAGCGGATGGCAGAGCTGCAGGGTTTGTCGGGCGACAGAGGAGTTTAATCGCAGCGAAGTCTATTTTTCCAATTACAGTAGGTGGCTGCACTTATTATCGTTATGACAGATTATCAGAGAGCAATTTTGTAGTGGCAGGAAAGACAGAGGCAAGATTGATTACATATTAATCAGCTCTCAAACCCCATCCCTGGGGATTTTTCCACCCAGGATTACTGACGAGATGAAATTCCTCCTCGTATACAGTGCAGCCCTTACACTGGTCATGGCCCAGTCACTGCAGCCCTCCCTGCTCCCACCTGTAGTTCCCGGCTCCCTCCGCACTTTGGCACCCGCTCTGTACTGGGATAAAAGAGCAGATGCTTTTGCTGTTGGTCTCAAGGGACAGAGAGTTTTTTCCTTCCCGTGATGCTCAAGCGTGCACAGGCACCTCCAGGGCTCAAACAGCTCGCTTTACCTTTTCTTCTTCCAGGTTTTAATGGTCATTTGGTTTTCACTGTGCTGAGCCCCCCAAAAGGCAGTGTGGCTGATAGCAGAGCCCCAAAGCCCTCCCTTGCCCCAGCACTGTTTAACCCCCCCCTTCCTTGGCCGTCTCCCCAGGCTGTGCAAGCTGGGGAGGCTCAGGGCTGCAGCTCAGCCTCTGGAGAGCAAAACCAGCCCCGAGTTCAGCTGGGCATTACCTCCAGCCCAATGGTCTTGAGCCTGAAAGGCTTGGGGGGGCCTGTTTTCCAGGGGATGGCTACTACCTGGCTATCGGCGGGGCCGTGGCTCAGCACAACTGGTCACACATCACCACCGTGCTGCAGGACATGAAGCTCCAGTGCAAACTCCTTGAC